AGCTCAGGGCATGGAGAGATCTGGACTGGGGCATCTCCAGCCTCTCCCCCACCAACACCCCCAAATCATTCTCTCAGGCCTGCTCTCCATCCCTTCTCTGCCCAACCTTGATTTGTGCTTGGAATTGCCCCAACCCACATGCAGGATCTTGCTCTTCACCTTGTTGTACCTCGTGACCAAACCATTCCTTCCAGGTGTAGCAGCTGTGGATGGAATTTCCCTGTTGTTGTTGTCGTCCTCTGTTATACAAACATCCAAATTCAGTGTCATTGTCAAGTTTCTGCCTTTTTTGCTTCCACTCTTTAGGAATTTTCCTGCCTGTCTGCTCTTTGTCTTCTCTTTGTTGTAATTACCTCTTTTATTAATGTTTATTCCCTTCCTTTCCTGAAGGATTGCAGATACAATCAGTGGAAAATAATTGCCAAGATATTCTTCAGCCTTCTGCTCTCTCCAAACATTCAGGTACTTTGCACTTGATGTGTCATCCTCACTAATTCCCTCTCTTTGAGAATAACACGGACCTCGTTTCTAGTCCACCTTTGAAATACTTTGATTTTTGTGGCTCTAAACTGCAAACCTGAGTCCCCTGGCTGAATACTTACAGCTCACTAACCTTTGCTGCGGTGGAAATCAGCTTCCCAGTGGGGAAAAACTCCGAATTTTCCAGTCTGGTCATCTGCTGGGATGTGAAACAAGAGCAGTTTTTCACCAGCCTTCTCGAATTTGGATATCAGAACTAATTGCAGTGGGTTAGGAGGAGTCAGGGCAATGTTTCCATGGTTGTCCATCTGAAGTGTAGAATCCACTGAACTAAAAGTGCTTTGCTGTCCCACCTGCCATCCCATTCCATGGCAATGATCCCTCAGCAGGGCACAACAAGAGAACAGTGACCATTTTTTTCCAGTTCTGCACAGAAAAAAAAAAAAATCATGGAATCCTACTGTGGTTCGGGTTGGAAGGGACCTTAAAGCTCATCCACTTCCAACCCCCTGCCATGGGCAGGGACACCTTCCATGGACCAGGTTGCTCCAAGGTCTGGTCTTGAATCCTTCCAACCTGGAAGGAAGGATTCCTGGATCCAAACTGGCCTTGAACCCTTCCAAAAATCCTCCTTTAGAGAGAAACAATCCATTTTGGACTGTTTCAACATGTTATGGATAAACTCAACCAGCCACTGATCTCTCCCTGTATCCTCTTGCTTCCCATATCAGCTCTCTACACTTCCCAACTCCAGATTTTTCTTTGTCAGCTTGAGGTTCCCTTTTTATTCCCTTTGTCATGTCCCCTTTTTCTTTTTTCCTCCTTTTTTTACAGCCTCCTTAACCTCCCTCTGAGCCAGGTTGCCTTTTAACCGGCGTGGCCGCCCCTTTCAGTTGTGGGATTGTGGCTTTTGGAGCATCTACTTAAAATGTTCTTCAACAATTTTCAATTAGTCTTCATATTTTTCTGATTACGTTCCTTTTTCCCAACTGATTTGCCTCGTAATTATTTTCAGCTTGATGAAACCAACCCTCTCTAAAGATGTGTGTATATATATATATGTGTGTGTCTGTACATGTGTGTGTATGTGGGGACTGTTGGTGGTGCTGTTTTATTCCCAATTTCCATGTATTTTCTAGTTCATGTAGATTTCTGGTCAAGTTATGATGACTTGTGTTCTAATTATCCAAAAAGTGGGATAAAACGTGGCTGCTGCTTCTAAAACATCGTTTTTCCAAGTGGGCACTGGCACAGGAGAGGCTGATTTAGGGGTTTGTTGGCATTTAGGGGATGGTGTTTCTGTAATTAAAGGGGAGTCATCTCCAGCCCTTTGATGTCTGGACAACCTTGGCTCCTCCTGAACTTGGTGTGGTTTGTTTTATCATGGAGTCATGGAATGGTTTGGATTGGAAAGGACCTTAAAGCTCATCTCATTCCAACCCCCTGCCATGGGCAGGGACACCTTCCAATAGCCGAGGTTGCTCCAAGCCCCGTCCAACCTGGCCTTGGACACTTCCAGGGATCCAGGGGCAGGCACAGCTTCTCTGGGCACGTTGTGGATTCTCCATCCCCGGAGGTATCCCAGAGGTTGGTGCTGTGTTAGCTCAGGAAGGATTAAAAAAGGTAAATGCTGCCTCCAGTCTGGTTTGGAAGTTTTGTGGTCCACGTTGGAGCAGCGTCCGTGGGTTTCCAGGTGAGACAGGAGATGGTAGAGTTGCCTCGTGTGTGCTCTGCAAAGCTGGTGGAGGAGGCACTGCCTGTGGTGGGAATTTCGTAGAATCCCAGAATCTTTAAAGTTGGAAAAGCCCTCCAAGGTCCTCCAGTCCCCCCTGTGCCCGGTGCCCACCTTGTCCCCCAGCCCAGAGCACTGAGTGCCA